AGTTTATGGCATTTTATCATAGCAACCCAAAGGGACTAAGGTACAGGCAAGAGATAATATATGGATTTTAAATGAGACATTTTTATGTTTATATAAAATATTGGGTTTCAAAAAAGTGACTAAAACATACCTCATTATCTTAATGTCTCAAGCTATGATCATGAATTTAAGCAGTTAAGTTACAAAGAAAACATAGGGAGAAACTGCACCACACTGGATTTTGCAGTAATTTCTTTCATACACCAAAAACACAGGGAACAAAAGAAAAAATACATTAAACTTATGAGCTTTTGTGCTTATCAACAGAATAAAAATACAGTCCACAGAAAAGAAGAAAATATTTGCATTTCTTATTTAAATACTGATATCCAAATCACAATTAAAAACTCCAATGCAAAAAAAAAAAAAAAACCCAACCCAATTAAGTGGTCAAGAACTTCAATAAATATTTCTTTAAATATAATACAGAAATGACCAATAAGTACATAAAGAGATTTTCAACATCACTAGCAATTAGATTATAATCACATTAAGATGTCACTTCATACTCATTACTGTAGCTATTGATTCCTTTTATAAAGAAAAGAACAAGAATAATTGAGAATGTGGAGAAATTAAGACCCTAATTCATTGTTACTAGAAATATAAAATGTTACAATTGGTGTGGAAGACACTCAGATATTTCCCAACTGATTCTATGAGGCAGTAGTACTATGATGCCAAAAATATACAAAGATAAAGAAAATAATTCAGACATTGCAACTTGTACATGTAGATGCAGCATACTTTATAAGCAGGGGCTGGCGCTGTGGTACAGCAGGTTAAAGCCCTGGCCTGAAGCACCGACATCCCATGTGGGCGCCGGTTCTAGTCCTAGCTGCTCCTCTTGTGATCCAGCTCTCTGCTGTGGCCTGGGAAAGCAGTAGAAGATGGCCCGAGTCTTTGGGCCCCTGCACCCATGTGGGAAATTTGGAGGAAGCTCCTGGCTCTGGCCATTGCATCTATATGGAGAATGAACCAGCAGATGGAAGAGCTCTCTCTCTCTGTATCTACCTCTCTCTGTAACTCTGTCTTTTAAATGAATAAAATAAATCTTATAAAAAAACTATAAGCAAACAGAATCTGACAATATGTAAAAATAATTATATCCATGTTGGATTTATCCCAGAAAGGCAAGTTTAGTCAAAAGTCTGAACAATCTGATACACCAATACAGTAAATAAACCAGTATGAGCCCACATTAATACATGCAGAAAATGAAATTGAAAAACCAAGTATACTTTTTATGATAACATTAAACAAAGTAGGAATAGAATGAGACTTCCCCAAATTGATGAAGGGAATATGAAAAACTCACAGCTAACATCATACTACAGTTAAAGCCTGTATAGTTGCATAAATAATATATTATTAATAGGTCCACTTCAACCACATCTACCCATCATTGTTCTTGAGGTTTAGTCTGTACAAATGGACAACAGAAATTGATAAGCATTAATATAGGAAAGGAAAAAATGTAATGATCTTTCTTTCAGAGAAGACATGATCTTATGTATAGAAAATAATAATGGATCCCTTTGCACATACTAGGACCAATAAACACATTAAGGAAAGTGTTGGGATACAAGATCCAATACAAAAATTGATTGTTTCCACATACAAGAAACGATTAAACCATAAAATGAAGTTAAAGAAATTATTTCAGTTACAATAACATCAAAATCAAATACATAGAAAGAATTTTAACAAAATAAATGTAAATCTTAACCATAATGAAGACAGCATATGGCTAGTGTTAGAAATACATAGGTATCCACCCTGAGCCTCCTCTCGATTCTGAGAACTTTACTTAGGGAGGAAAGGAATTGCATTTCTGGCCTTTATATTATCATAGCTCAGTCCCTGGGATCAGACTGACACAACCAAATGTGTATTTATTGTATCTGTATTTTTAAGGGCTAGATGACTTAGGCCTAGAAAGCAAGAATGACAATCCATATGCTAGAGAGTGGAATATCAGGCACTGATTCCTCCAGCCATTGCATGCCAATCACCCTGAAGTTAAAGGAACTCAAGTTATCATACCGGGCCAGTGCTGTGGTGTAGTAGGTAAAGCTGCCGCCTGCAGTGCTCCCATGTGGGCGCAGGTTCAAGACCCGGCTGCTCAACTTCATATCCAGCTCTCTACTATGGCCTGGGAAAGAAGATGGTCCAGGTCCTTGGGCCCCTGCACCCACGTAGGAGACTTGGAAGAAGTTCCTGGCTCCTGCCTTCGGATGGGCTTAGCTCCAGCCATTGTGGCCATCTGGGGAGTGAACCAGCGGATGAAAGACCTCTCTCTCTCTCTCTCTGCTTCTCTGTTACTCTGCCTTTCAAATAAATAAATAAATTAAAAAAATATATATCATACCAATAGGTGTTTAAGAAAGGAAGGAAAGGTCCAGAACTCTGAGGAAGGGAGCTAGGCATTCCAGAGTCCAAGGCAAGTGCACTCTGAGAAGAACAAGATTTAGTTTTCTGGATCTGAAGAATAGAATCAGGGAGAGGCAACTGAGGGGTCAGAGAAGCTACAGATATATGAACAAGGCAGGACACACATTAGAGAAAGAGAAAAGCAGGGATCAGTCTTGGGCAAGAGTTGAGTCTGTTACATAAACCCCTTCCACCCACTTCAAACTTCACTCTCAAGTCCAACACCCAAGACTACATAGAATCTTAATCACTCAAGGTGAACATTTACATGTTTACTTCTGTGTTAGTGGAAGTTCTGAGAAATTACTATAGAGAGGTCCTTGCTTCGTTTGTTGTATAAACCAAAGAACGAAAGCCAAATCTCCGATTCTCTCTCTCTCCTTCTCCCTTCCTCTCCCCCCCCCCCCCCCCCCCCAAATCCTCCAAAACCAAATAGCTGAAGATTAGGTAAATGGAACATGGAACTTGGGGCTTCTCAGAGAATAATTATCAGACACTTGAAAGAGTAAATGGCCATAAAGATTATGGTGTGCACCTCACTACGAAGCTATATTTTATTTCACTATATATACTAAGAGCAGTTTTCCCAACTGTGTAATGTAACCTATTAAAGACTCACAAATTATAGATTAGTGAGTGAAAACAAATGTGTCTTAATGAGTTTAAGGAGGGTTACCGTACAAATTTCTTAGTTAACTAAAGTAAAAAAAAATTGAGATTTGATTTTCTTCATGTTTTAGGCTGTTTAAAAAAGAATCAAGAACAGCAATACCTGATAAAAACATAAAAATGTTATTATTATAATTCACTCATTTCCCCGTCTTTCCCACAAAGTCCCAGATAGTGAGAACCGGAGTTAGTAATGAACTCCACATCTCCCCACTTGGATGACGATCCTGCATCTCCAGTTCTCCTTACAAGGTAATGCGCGCTAGGAAAGCACAGAATTCGTCCTTTCCAGCAGGCTGACAAACTGGCGCAGAGCCCTGTGGGAAATGTAGTCTCCTTCAATTACGTCATCAGCACAGGGCCACGGAAAGGATCTTCCGGGTTCCTTCTGCGCATGTGCCTCCCCGCCCACTCCCGCCATCTTCCGCAAGGAAATTCCTCTGGTTTCTTAAGCTGCTCGGCGGTTCTGGGGCTATATCCTGTGTGGCTGGAGGTGGGTGTGAGAGTGAAACGGGAGCCCCCGCAGGCCCTAATGGGAGGTTTATGGGAGGAGAAACGTCAGGGGGCGTTTCAGGCGGCGGTACCTGACCGACGGCGGTGGGATTCACAGGTGGGGCGCTCTGGGAGAGGCCCCTGGGGCGCCGCTGTCGGCGATTGTTTTGTCTGGAGAGTGCCGACGGGAGGTCGGGTGCGCTCTTCCAGAAGTGCGGAAACGCCGGAAAGCGGTGTTCGGTGGGGATGGGGATGGGGATGGGCGGGAAGGCTGGCCGGCGGCGAGAGTGCGCGTTCCAGCTTTGCCGCTGCGTGTGCATTTCTAAGGCGGGCACGATAGTGTCAGTGACCTGTCCCCCGCATACTCCCAGAGAGACTTGTGTGCTGCATGCCGGGTCTCATCATGTGGTAGTGGTGTCTGGGAAGTTTCTGGTGCTTGGTGTAGCCTGCCTGGCGCCCCTCGTTTGAGTTTATAGACGTTTCGGCCATACCTGTTTTCCAGGGACAGTAAGTCCCAAGGGGGAGAGTGGAGTACTGGATGTTGGTCCCGTTTTATTCGGAATCAAGGAGATGTGACAGAGTTAGCTCACTCCGTACGTAGAAGACCACCCCTGAACACTCGCTTGCTTCAGAGCAGAGGCAGAAGAGCCCCACAGGAAGGTGGAGATCCTAGCTTTTCTTGGCGCACGCAGTTATTAATCCTAGTCTCTGGAGTGCACACCATTTGGCTGATCGTAGTTCAGCCAGGATAAGACGTTGATATGGAAGGATTTGGACCAGTTTTCAGAAGGGAGAGATGAGGTTGATTAAACAGAATAGGCAAGGACCTAGGAAATGTGACTTAGCGAAGGGGTGTTGTGGAGCGGAGGGATGCCCTGTCACACCTGAGAGGATCTCTCTACTGTGTTTAACACACTTCCGTTCATTCAGCCTTCCCTCATTGTGTCCAGAACCTGGGTTTTCTCAAACCTAGTCTGCCACGAAATTTGGCTTCTTGAGGTACACTACTAATGTTCTCTTTCCTGACTGTTCTCCTGGTAATTCAAGAAAAGCTTGCCAGGGTCTTTTGCCTTTTGAGATGTAAAAATTTGAATTTGAGAAGATGTAAGTTGCCCAGAAGTGCATGTTTTGTAGATGCTAGGCATTCTGATTTTTTAGCTAGTGTTATGTATTTTGGTTTTGCTTTTGAGATTATTATCGTGAAACATAATTCATTTAGCGTAAATATGGCTTTATAATACCTTGCCTTAAAAATGCCTATTCCTTTTTTACTCCCAGTCACTAATTTTCTGTGGATTTCTGGCCTAAGAGGGTTAATTACAGAACTGTTTCTAAGTTAGTTTCTTTAACCAGTCCTTGAAAATCACTTGCAGGAAAATCATATGTGGCTATTTCACATTATTTGAAAGGGAACATTAGGCTGCGTCACACTTCTGATCTGAGCCATTTTTATCAGCTGTAAGTACAATGCCCTCTTAAAAGTAACAGATTTTATGTTTTAAACAGGGATTTTATTATCAGTGTTTAAGTAAACTTACAACAGTCTGCTAGTGTGTAAACAGTTGCCTGCTGTGATTCACGTGATGTCTACTAGTGCCAGCAATCTCACTGAAGTCCCCTCAGTTGACATGCATTGTGATTTTCAGTACTTGTACCTGTGGTTGTGAAGTTCACTTGCTTGTCTTTGACCTGTAATTTAAGAATTTCTCTTATTCATGTTTTTGTTGAAATATGTCTGGTGTTGGGTGATTAGATGTGCCAGTTAGCATTTGCTGTATAATGAACCAACTCAGACTACTGACCAAAGAAAGTCCGTTTTTTTTTTTTTTTTTTTTTAATTTTTTGACAGGCAGAGTGGACAGTGAGAGAGAGAGAGAGACAGAGAGAAGGTCTTCCTTTTTGCCGTTGGTTCACCGTCCAATGGCCGCCGCGGCCAGCGCGCTGCGGCCAGTGCACCGCGCTGATCCGATAGCAGGAGCCAGGTACTTATCCTGGTCTCCCATGGTGTGCAGGGCCCAAGTACTTGGGCCATCCTCCACTGCACTCCCTGGCCACAGCAGAGAGCTGGCCTGGAAGAGGGGCAACCAGGACAGAATCCGGCGCCCCGACCGGGACTAGAACCTGGTGTGCCGGCGCCGCAAGGTGGAGGATTAGCCTAGTGAGCCACGGCGCCGGCTTTAATTGTAGCTCTCTGGATCCACGTTTTGGGTTGGGTTCAGCTGGATAGTCTCTGTGCTGTTGCAGTCTGGATCATAAATGAAGCTTTAGTCTTCTGGTGCTATGACTGAAGCTGGTTAATTTAAGATGGCTTTGCTCCTGGGTCTGGCAGTTTCTACAGATTGTTGTGCCAGCAAGGTGAACCCAGGCTTTTTCACACTATGTGTCCAAGAAGGCAGGCACCAAACATAGGTCTAATGTCTAATTGACAGAAGCAAGTCGAATAGCAAAGCTCATGTCATTGTAAGAGGCCATTATGTGAGCACTTTGGGTACAGGAAGATGTGTCATTGAGATAGTAATGGAACAGTGTACCTAAAGAAATACACATGCATATATTTCTTCCTCTATAAATGTGGAAAACAGGTTGCAGCACGCTTTTTTTTTTTTTTTTTAAAGATTCGTTTATTTGAAAGGCAGAGTTACAGAGAGTCAGAGACAGAGAGAGAGATAGAGAGAGGGGTCTGCCATCCGGTGGTTCACTCCCCAGATGGCCACAATGGCCGGAGCTGTGCTGATCCTAAGCTAGGAGCCAGGAGTTTTCCTCTGGGTGCAGGGGCCCAAGGACTTGAGCCATCTTCTGTTGCTTTCCCAGGCCATAGCAGAGAGCTGGATCAGAAGTGGAGCAGCTGGGACTCAAACCAGCACCCACATAGAATTCCGGCACTGCAGGAGACGGCTTTACCCACTAGGCCACGGCACGGGTCCCAAGCAGCATGCTTTTCATAAAATTTAAGTAATATAAAAGGGGAACCGGCGCTATGGCGTGGTAAACCTTATGGGCACTGGTTTGTGTCCTGGCTGCTGCTCTTTCATCCAGCCCTCTGCTTGTGGTCTGGGAAGGCAGGGGAAGATGAGCCAAGTCTTTGGGTCCCTGCACCTGCATGGAAGACCTGGAAGAAGCTGCTGGCTCCTGACTCTAGATCAGCCTGGCTTCGGCTGTTGCAGTCACTTGGGGAGTCGACCAGTGGATGGAAGACCTTTTCCTCTGTCTCTCCCTCCATCTATTTGTAACTCTACCTCTCAAATAAAATAAGTACAGTCTTAGTGAAAAAGAGTTATACAAAGGGAAGAGGTGTTGTACTGGATGCAGTCATATGGATTCCTGTATGGTATCCCTATATTAATAAAGATTGATTGTTTATACAGCCCAAGTATATTTCTTTAACACTAATTTTAGTGAATAGTGTTTCTTCCTTTGTTTTAAATTCTTCATTTATTTCTTTGGGGGATAGAAATTGTTGCTAATCAGTAGGCAATAGATGTTTCCATCTACCCAAGAATTATATGTGTAATTTTTTATCAAGTAGTGGACCTTTGTATATCTCCAGTGGGGTGTTTTTGCCTTAGTTTGAGATATAAAAGACTTATCCCACAGGGAGGCTTTTATTTTGTCTTTTGCAGCTTATGAATAGAGTTTTGGGAAGGAGAGTCTTGAACCACACCATATCACTTCTCTCATGATTATGCTCCATTCATCTCTCCCAGCTGTGCTTCCAGAGTTTTCCATGTGTTTCCAAGAACAACGAAAAATGTACAAGTCCCTGGTGAGTTGTTTGGCTGCATATCATTTACTTTATTTTACATTGTTACTGTGAGAGCTTTTTAGGGCCTATGCTTTAAAATGAAAATGTTGAAATAAGTAAAATTCAGCTTCAGGGAACTGGACATAAACAAGATAAAGTTGACACATAGATATAGACAGGTTATAAGACCTTAGTGTCTTTTAAGTTATTTGGAAATTTGTCTCTGGTCTCTCTGATGCTGTGGCTGAAGGATAGTCACACATGTTGCATGACTTAGTGGATCCTGAGAGGACAGCATAACAAATTCTCATGAAGACTTGCTGGTACCAAAGTCTTAAACACCGTCTTCACTGCTCACATAGATGATGGAGTGGGAAGTTTTTCTCTATTTTTTTTTTAAAGATTTATTTATTTATTTGAAAGTTAGAGTTACATAGAGAGAGGAGAGGCAGAGAGAGAGGTCTTCCATCCACTGGTTCATTCTCCAGTTGGCTGCAATGGCCGGAGCTGTGCCGATCCAAAGCCAGGAGCTAGGAGCTTCTTTCCAGTCTCTCACACGGGTGCAGGTGCCCAAGGACTTATGCCAGCATAAGGCCCAGGTGGAACTTCTTATCCAAAAGCCTGAGCCCAGAACAAGGAGGGTATTTCCTTATGTATGGTTTTAGCCTTTTTATCTCCCTTATATGGTTACATGGGTACATTTGATTGGATATTCTAATGTTACATGATGGCCACAATACTGCACAGCATGCAACCTAGTTACTGATGATTTTTTTTTTTTTCACATACATACTAAGCCATATGCTGTTTGGCAAGGATTAACACTATTCCTCTATATTAGCAAGCAGAACCTGAAGTGGTTACATGTAAGCAGATAGTAACCATAGTTGAATCATTCTTAGACACATAGTAACAATCCCATTTTAGTCCCAGATTCTTCTGACCTTGGGAAGGCTTCTACTACAAATTTAATCATGTCAGTTAGAAACAAGGTTAATTAAAAGGCCAAGGCCTCTACCATATCATCATTGCTGTTTCTCCCAACAACAATGGTTAAAATACCCCCAGGATAATAGCAGCTATAGAATCTCATTGGAACCTGTGTTCAGAATTTTGACTGGGATTCAGTCACATAAATAAGACTGCCCACCCTTGTTGCCATCCAGAGTTTGAGTTGGTAACATATGCCTGAAGGCTTGCACCATAAATTATTTTTTTCTTGATAAGATTTATTTATTTATTTGAAAGGCAGAGTTACAGAGAGGCAGAAGCAGAAACAGATAGAGTTCTTCCATCTGCTGATTCATTCCCCCAAATGGTTGCAATGGCCAGAACTACGCCGATCTGAAGCCAAGGACCTTGGAATTTCTTCATGCTCTCCCACAAAGTTGCAGGGACCCAAGGACTTGGACCATCTTCCACTGCTTTCCCAGGCTGTAGCAGAGAATTGAATCAGGAGTGGAGCAGCCTAGACTGGAACTGGCACCCATACGGAATGCTGGCACTGCAAACGCTGCCTTTATCTGATATATCATCTTGTAAGCATAGACTGTCCATTTGCCTCAAAGTCCCAAAGCTTTAAAAGACATTCCAGTGGCTAAATGATAAAGTCGTAGGATCTGGGCAAAGGGCAGATTTTTCTTTGGGAAACATTAATCCTTTGCTATGCAGGTTGTGATCTATAGGCTGAGCTTCTTGGATCTCTGGGTCTGTAATTTCTATTACATTAGTCAAATATTTATTTTTTATTTAAAGATTTCCAGGCCGCACTGAAATCTGTAGCTTCACGTATATGATACCACTTGATAACAGATCACGGAATCTCTAGTTTTTTAACTGAGATCTTATATTGAGGCCCCTTCCTCTACTTTGTCTATGTCCTGAACAGGATGAGAATAAATAGAAACAGCTATTTTTTTCACTTTTATTTTTTTTGACTTTGAATGTAACCTTCAGGTCTTCAGAATTTAACAGTATTAAAGTGAAAGTGTTCATCTGTTGAGGCCCCCCCGGACCCTCACAATGGCAGTTTTGTCCTTCCTTTTCCATGTGACTGCTGAAAGGTCTGGGATTTTCCATCATCACAGATCAATGGGCGCTTCACTGAGGATGGAGAACATTCCTGATGAGGCCTGGATTCTGCATCCTGGTAGCCCCCAACCCATTGTTCTCTCTGACCATTTGTCTTTCTTTTTTTGAGAAATGTCTAGATCATATGCCCATTTCTTAACTATTTGGTTTTTGTGTTGTTGAGGTGTTTTTATTTTTAGTTCCTTATATATTCTGAACTGTAATTCCTTTTCCAGATGAATAGTTTGCAACTATTTTTTTCCCTATCTGTGTGCTGTCACTTTACTATTTTGGTAGTGTCCTTTGCTGTTAGAGAAACTTTTTAAGTGTAATCTAATCTCATTTATCTATTGTTACTGTTGCTTGTGCTTTTTGGGTCATATCCAAGAAATAGTTAACATTGTTGACATCTTAAAGTGTTGCTGCTGGGGCTGGCACTGTGGCGTAGCAGGTTAAAGCTGCAGCCTACAGTGCCGGCATCCCATATGGGCGCCGGTTCGAGTCCCAGCTGCTCCTTTTGCGATCCAGCTCTCTGCTATGGCCTGGGAAGGCAGTAGAAGATGGCCTAAGTCCTTGGGCCCCTGCACCCACATGGGAGACTGGGAAGAAGCTCCTGGCTCCTGGCTTTGGATCAGCTCAGCTCTGGCCGTCACGGTCATTTGGGGAGTGAACCAGTGGATAGAAGATTGATCTCTCTGTTTCTCTTTCTTTCTCTGGCTCTACCTCTCTTTGTAACTCTTTCAAATAAATAAAATAAAAATCTAAAAAAAAAAAAAATAAGGTGTTGCTGCTGTGTTTTCTTTTAGTAGTTTATTTCAGGTCTTACGTTTAGATCTTTGATCTGTTTTGAGTTTTTTTTAAAATAGATTCCTAAGTAAAGGGTCAAGGTTTAAGGTTCTGCATATGATTATCCTGTTTTCCTCACACTGTTTCTTTTCATTTTCTCATTAACCTCTTTGCATTCTAATCTTGGTGTAGTTTTTTTTTTTTTTTTTTTTTTTTTTTTTTTTTTTTAGATTGATTTTACTTGTTTTGAAAGGCAGAGTTAGAGAGAAGAGAGAGTTCTTCCATCTGCTAGTCCGCTTCCCAAAGGGCTGCAACAGCTGGGGCTTGGCTAGGCCGAAGTCAGGAGCTCCATCTGGGTTTTCCGTGTGGGTACAGGACTTAGGTCGACCCAAGGACTTAGGTCAACCTCTGCTGCTTTCCCAGCCACATCAGCAGGGAGCTGGATCGGAAGTGGAGCAGCTAAGGCTTGAACTGGCACCTATATGGGATGCCAGCTCTGCAGGCCGTGGCTCTAACCCACTGTGCCACAGTGCCGTTCCCCATTTATTTTCTTTCTGCAGTGTGTTTTTTTGACGTCCTTATGGAAAACCAGTTGGCTATAGATGTGTGGATTCATTCTGGGCTCTATTCTGTTTCATTGGTCTTTCTGTTCTTTAAAGTCAGTTCCATGCTGCTTTTGTTAAAATAATTATATACTGTATGTTGAAATCAGATATTGTGATGCCTTCGTCTCTGTTGTTATCCAAGATTGCTTTGGCAATCTGGGTTCTTTGTGCTTCCATATGAACTTTAGGATGTTTTTTCTGTGAGGAATGTCATGATTATTTTGATGTGGAATTCACTGAATCTGTAAATCATTTGGGGGATATGGACATTTTAACAGTGTTATTACAATCCATTAATATTGGAGGTGTTTTCTTGTCTTGGAGAGTTGAAGTTTCTTCATTATTTTATAATTTCCCTTACAGATCTCTTTTACAAACTTGGTTAAAGTTATTCCAATGTAATTTTTTACTATTTTGACTGGGATTGTTTTTAGCTAGTTCATTTTGTACCTTGTCACTTTACTGAATTTATCAATTCCAGTACTCTTTAATGGAATCTTTAGGGTTTTCTTTTTTTTCTATTAATTTTTTTTTTTTTTTTTTGACAGGCAGAGTGGACAGTGAGAGAGAGAGACAGAGAGAAAGGTCTTCCTTTTGCTGTTGGTTCACCCTCCAATGGCTGCCGCGGCCGGCGTGCTGCGGCCGGCGCACCGCGCTGATCCAATGGCAGGAGCCAGGAGCCAGGTGCTTTTTCCTGGTCTCCCATGGGGTGCAGGGCCCAAGCACCTGGGCCATCCTCCACTGCACTCCCTGGCCACAGCAGAGGGCTGGCCTGGAAGAGGGGCAACCGGGACAGAATCCGGTGCCCCGACCAGGACTAGAACCCGGTGTGCCGGCGCCCCTAGGCGGACGATTAGCCTAGTGAGCCGCGGCGCTGGCCTTAGGGTTTTCTTTATACAGAATAATGTCATCTGCAAACAAGGATATTGTGACTCCATACATTCCTTTTATTTCTTTCTCTTGTAATGACTGTGGCTAAAACTTCTATTACTATATTGAATAAGAGCAGTGAGAGTGGATATCCTTATCTGGTTCCAGATCTTAGAGGAGATTCTTTTAGCTCTTCCCTATTCATGTGATGTGGGCTGTGGATTTGCTGTATATAGTGTTTATTGTAATGAATTATGTTCCTCCTGTAACTCATTTGTTCAGGATTGTTTTGATAAGTGGGTATTGAATTTTATCAAATGCAAATCTGCATCTGTTTAAATAATCATATGATTTTTATCTTTCATTCATTGCATTCCTGGATTAAATCTCTTTTGATTATAATGAACTTTTTGATGTTACTAGATTTGATTTGCTAGTATTTTGTTGAGAATCTTTGCATCTGTGTTCATCAAGGATATTAATCTATAAGTTGTTGTATCCATGTCTGATTTTGGAATTAGGCTAATGTTGGCCTTATAGAATGTGTTTGGTAGGGTTCTCTCCTTTTTTAACATCTTGGAATATTTTGAGAAGAATTGGTGTTAGTCCTTCCTTGGATGTCTATAGAATTCAGTAAGGCTTATCTGGTCTTGGGCTTTCTCTGTTGGAAGCAGTTTTAATAGTGGTTCA